TTTTGCAAGGCCTCGATTCTTTCGTCAACTGTGAAGTTGAGCGTTTGTGAAGTCGCATTTCTCATTCTCTCGTAAATCTTATCGGCTATTTTAGCGATATTGTCTATGTCTACATCGCTATCTCCAACAGCGAGGATCTGCTGTACGTTCGGTGGGAGTCGTCGCAACCACAAGTGGTAAAATATATTTTTATCCACATTTCTGTCTCCAATTACGTTGCTCATATACGTTTTTAACTGCGAAGGCGTTCTATCTCCGATTTGAACTTCACTGAGCAACTGCTCGACAGCTTGCCGGTCGTTTAACGAGAGAGCTTTTATTACTGCCTGTTTCAATACATCGTACGGATTTACCGCATCCGGCTTAGTTAGGACCTCTCGTACCTTGTCTGCTACTTCATCTGGAAGTAGTGAGCTTGCGTAGCCGAACTTATGTCGCTGTAAAAGAATACGATTGGCTACGAAGTAATTTTCAAGTCTAATAAACCAGAGTTGAGGATCAGTAACATTAAAAGAGGGAATAGTAACATTAATAACTCCCACGGATGGTGACTGTGAAAGATCGATTGTTTCGTTATTTAAAGACATTACTAATAATAATAATAATAATAATAATAATAATAATAATAATAAATTAAATAGTATGCGAATATAACGTTATTGTCACTAAGAGAAATGAATCGATGAAAAAAATGATAATAACAAAAGGTACAATATATAAAATGGAACAGACTTACTAAATTGCACCAATATATCAATTGTTCGTGAATAATCGTTATTTATTATGAATATTATCGTTAAGTTCAATAATGCTTATGGGATGATGAACGTGCGATTAAAATTGTGATATAATAAATCCACAATTATGATTATAATCCAGATAATAATTCGAATAGAAACAGAGTACGTTGAATTTTCAAAATGAAATTATCTCGTCGAAAATTGTTTTGCGTTCGCTCGTTGAGGCATCCAATTCCGTAGTGTCGTGTTCGTACGGCGAGGTAACCAAATATATTGCGTCGTGCTCGTTCGGCGAGATATCCAATTCTATTGCGTCGTGCTTGTTCGGCGAGATATCCAATTCTATTGCGTCGTGCTTGTTCGGCGAGATATCCAATTCTATTGCGTCGTGCTTGTTCGGCGAGGCCTCCAATTCTGTAGTGCCGCGATTCGTTAACCGTTTACTTCGATAACCGTTATAATTCTAAACTTAACGGTGCGTAAAATCAGAAGACAAAGGATAGCAGCAACTACAGTTTATTGTCGAATGACTCAGGTTCGAAAGCTAACAACACCTGAGCGAATATGAACGAGCGAGTGAACAGGCAAACAAGCAAAGGAAATGAACGAGGAGCAAGCGAGCGAGCGAGAGAGTAGCAAGCAATTACATAGGCAATTTATAGTCAAATTTAATAAGGGCACAGCAAAGCAAAACAAAGGCTGATAATAATATTTGTGTGCGTACATATATGGGGAGGAGTATGAGTCATCGAATGATATTTAAGCAGTCAACATTTCGGCTAGAGTGTCATGTGCTCTAGTGGTATAGCAGTGCAAAGAATATGCAAATTGTTACTATCCTAATGACAATGTCTGTTAAGTAAGTTATAAAAAAGGGCTTAACCAAGATTGGCTATAATCGAAATTGATTGTAGGATGGTTGCTATAATCTATCGGTTGAGGGCTCTGGTTCGAGATTGATAGGTCATGGGTTCGAATCTCGCTCACAAGGCGGGATCGTGGGTGCGCACCGCTGAGGAGTCCCATAATAAAACGAAACGGCGGTCCAGCACTTCCAGGTTTTCCATGGTGGTCTAGCTTCAGTTGATTCATGTTTTCAACTATGAAAATATTTGTAATATTCAATAGGAAGAATTATAAATTCCTGATGTTTAATGGCTTGATGTAATCCACTTCTTTAGAGTAAATAAAGCTATTTATAATCAGAAAGGGATTTTGTGGAAATTTTAGTGATTTTATAGTTGAATTCATTAGTCAATTAAAACTAGACCACCATGGGAAACCTGGAAGCACTGGACAACCATTTTGTCCTAGTATGGGACTTCTCAGCAACGCAAATTCACGATACTACATTGCGAGATTCGAACCCAGGACACATCAGTGTTGCTCGAGAACGCTTAATTTCTAGACTACTGAGCTGGACAGTATCCAACGGCGTTATTTATATTTTTGCAAATGGTAACAAGTATAAGTAGTAAGTATAAATATGAATTTCACTCTGAAGTTATTGATCAATATCTCACAGACATTGATCATATCTACACTAAATATCACTATACAATCGAAAGAATTCATTTCTGTACTGAACATTAAGCATCAGCCTACCACATCGGACAAAAAGGACGCCATCTTCATCTTTGCGTGCATGAACATCAATTAGCATTCAAACGCCATGACATATCCTCACATATATCAATGCATGTGGACAACTGTGGACACATATTTGATTGAGAAAATGTGGAGATTTTTGGATATAGGCAACTCCAAAAACACCAGAGAATTTTTAGAAGCTTAGCACTTAGGTCAACCAGCAATAAACAAGCACATTGGAATCAATCCAATTTATCAACCAATCAGGAAAATTATGCAGAAACATAAGAATAAAAATCAAACCAATGGGAGATATAAACAAAACAAAGAAATAAACAATAACAAATTTCAGGTCAACAAGAACCAACCAACATCAAGGTGTATAGGACTAGCTGTGAACTACATGTGGAGAAATTTGAACACTTCACTTCTACCTGAAGTTTGTGCTGATGATGTTGCTCAGAAAGACAATGAAAGTTCCACAACTAAACCATCTGGCTCAATGACCAAAACTGCATTAAAATCATTCACCTGACCTACAAATCTCCATATTGATTCTTTATAACAAGTTTAAATGAAAAAAAAACGCTATAGTCTACTATGCATTATTTTGTATATATGCCCATTATATTAGATGATTTGGTTCTAATTCTAAAAGAAAAATCAATATACTTGGTATTGTTTGCTTGAATATTCCCATTGATGTTTAGGACTGAAACTGGTCAGTCTCTTATTGGCATATGTGCATATTGTGCGTATTACCCGGATATAACCTTAATTCACAAGCATTGTAAGCAAAGATGGATGGTGGCTAGCAGTGGGATACAGTTCGACGTGCGTTTCGTCCTATTTGGGACTCGTCAGCTGGATTCACCTGCATCTCAGAGTTGATGTTCACACTGGGACTCGAACCCAGTACCGTTCGCTTCAAACGCCATCGCGTTATCCATTCATCTGCTGAGTCCTGATAGCTATATCGAGGCAATACGCACAGCATACACATATACCAATAAGAGACCGATCAATTTCAATACTAAACATCAATGGGAAGATTCAAACAAACAATACTAAGTGAATTTAAATTTCACCCCACTGCACAAGCAAGTGGCTATCAGGACTCAGTAGCTGAGTGGATAACGCGATAGCATTTAAAGCGAATGGTACTGAGTTCCAGCCCCAGAGTGAACATCAACAAGTTTGAAATGCAGGTACATCCAGTTGACGAGTCCCAAATAGAACGAAACGCGCATCAAACTGGATTCCACTATTAGCCACTATCCATCTTTGCTTAAAAATCAGATTATTTACAAATTTTTTTCAAAACTAACTTTGAATAAGTTTCAATAAACTTTCAATCTTCATACGTTTAAGTGTACAGCTCACATCTAGAATTATCATTATTATTATTAGTATAATTAAATAAATAGAAGACATTTCTACATGCATTTGGTAAGTGATTCAAATTCAGTTGGGTATTCTTCGATTAGTTGATCTGAATAGTGTGTAAAATATAGATTATTATAAATAATGATGGTGAGGATATTATTATTATCATTGTAGTGAACAAGAACACCAGGAGGGGGGCAATCGAATGTATTTCGGCACAAATTACAGACTATACCACTAAATTCTGATACTTACTTACTAACTTACGCCTGTTACCCCTCGTGGAGAAGCATAGGCTGCTCACCAGTATTCACCATCCAACTCTGTCTTGAGCCTTCCTTTCCTGTTCTTTCCAGTTAACATTCATCCTTTTTGTTATATCCCCTGGTGAATTATGAATGGTAACTCTAAGGACTATTTATCAACCAATGTATTATGCCTATTTCCTATTGTACAATTATTACGTAACCGAACTATTCATATTCGTATTTCTCTTATCATTAGCTTTATTTTGACCTTTGACTTATTATCATACGATTCTTGAGTTCTAATCAGTTTATTGATTACTTTGGTTTGTATAAAAACTCAGTATGTTTGTAAATAATGATTCATATTGCTGAGGCTGTTATTTGTGTTTTGGACTTAACGGGCTGGGCTAGGCAGAAAGCAGGGTCTGATACGCACCCAAGACTGCTAGTACGATTTCAATAATCATTCGCGTCCGATCAGTAAAATCCACTCCTCTCCAATTGCACATTCATATATATTACGAGTCTATACGTTATAAAACTTTTCATATCTGCTTCTATTTCCCGGCATAATGTGTTCTTTGGCCTTACTCTTTTCCGCTTCCCTTCCGGATTTCAAGTTAGAGCTAGCGTCATGATGCACATTGGTGATTTCCTTAATGTATGTCTGATCCACTTCCAACGTCTTTTCCTAATTTCCTCTTCAGTTGGAAGCTGATTTGTTCTCTTCCATAAAATGCTGTTGCTGAAAACCATACAGTAAACAGCTAATTTGCAAAATAACAACTAATTATCTCAACCTCCACTGTTCCTTCTGTAAATATCAATCCATCTTCTCTAATTTCATTTTCATGCATTTACCTACCAACTGCATTCCATTTCAATTATTTCCTTATCGGTCTTCTATCAAAAATACATTCTATATCTGATCATCACCATATACTACTTATATGGATATAAGTAAACAACACTACATCATTATTATTATTGTTATTAAGTGAAGTCTCCTCAAGGGAAAGAAGGACTTCTCTCTCTATTATATAAATAGATAGTAAATATTCAATCCATTGAATAATGAATTTACATTTTATATCAATCATTTCTTTTATAGATTTCTTCATTTGTAATATTGCATAATTTGATTGACCTATAACAAAAATATGATCAATATGAAGATTTGTGAAGATTGTAATCATTAAATGTGATTGAATTCACAAATCAATCTAAGCTAAATCATCAATGAAAATGTAGAATCATTAAAGGGATGTTTCATTTTAGTATGGGACTTATCAGCAATATACATACGTGATTCCGTACATAGGATTCAAACTTAGGAACTTCGGTTTCGCATGCTATCACTTAACCTATAGAGCACTGAATTGGCATCTAAAAATGTTAATGATTAACTCCAATCGATCAGTTACTAATTATTAAAAGTGTTTGTTTATAACATGCTTGTTAACACTTCTTTGTAGTAGTAGTAATAATAATAAGATCTTTTGAATTCTTTTGTTATTTCTTTGTCATTACTAATATACCGTATACCCGAATGATCTCAATGAAATTATCAATACTAATGGGGTCAAATGATTTCAGTTCATAAATACAAGACAAAGAAATTAATGATTATTAAATGAGGTAAACATAGTTTTATTGATATTAAACAAAACTAAATTAAAATATACATAAATTAAGTGTTTTTAATATTATAGTTGAAATCATGAGTCAATGAAAGTTAGAACAGCATTGATAACCTGGAAGAATTGGACAGCCGTTTCAACCTAGTATGAGAGTCCACAGTAGTGCGCATCCACAATCCCGCCCCGAGAGATTTGAACCCAGGACATATCAGTCTTGCTTGCAAGCGCTTAACCATTCGAGAGGAGGGATAGTGGATGCGCACTGCTGTGGAATCCAACAATATAACCGAACGGCCGTCCATTGCTTTCAGGTTTTCCATGCTGGTCTGACTTCAATTAACTGATGATTTTAACTATAAAATTACTGAAATCTGTATAAAACCCCTTCTGTTTTTAATATTTTGAAGATTGATAATGAACATTTTGAAATGTAATCGGTGAGACTATAATTTATAGATGAACCAATCACATTTTAGATAAAAGGTCTTGGAATTTGGCGCGAAATTTATTCATCTATTTGGTTAAAGAAGATTTTAGGATTTTACCTGATGTCAGTTTGTGATGAAAACCATCAATTGGGAATCATAATTCTTATTCTTCAAACTGTTTCATAATCTTTATTTATCTCTAGTAAGAAGACGGATATTCTCAAGCTCATTTTAGCATCGCTCGAAGGTCATCCATAAATTATAGCCTCACCATTGAATCATCTTATTTTTGACTTAGAGAATAAAACTCTTAAAGGTATCCATTTCAGCTTTCAAATTGTTTTGTATCATTTCAAAATAGCTATAAAATGGGTACTTACGTTTTGCTTGATCTCTGTGAAACTCCAATGTCACCAATTTTGCCCAATCATATACTGAAAAATAAGTAATCAACTGACTATATCATAGATATCATAGATATATATATATCAAAGAGGTTACATGAATACTGGTGTGTCTATATAAATAAACAGCAAAACTTCTATTTCATTATAGAGTTATATATAGCTGACTTTAGATAGAAGTTGATATGACAGTTTTGAAACAGACAAATCACTAGAATGAATAATGGGTAGCAGTGCAATCCAGTTTGACGAGCGTTTCGTCCTATTTGAGACTCGTTAGATGGATGCGCTTGCATCTCAGAGTTGATGTTCACGCTGAGACTCGAACCCAGTGTCCTTGGATTCAAACGCCATCGCGTTATCAGGACTCAGTAGCTGAGTGAATAACGTGATGGCATTTTCTGCGAACAGTACTGGGTTCGAGTCCCAGCGTGAACATCAACAAGTCTGAGATGCAGGCACATCCAGCTGACGGGTCATAAATAGGATGAAAGGCATGTCAAACTGGATTGCACTGCTAGCCACTATCCATCTTTTCTTAGGGTGCTTGTGAAATAAGGTTATATCGAGGCAATACGCACAGTATGCACATATATATTAATAAGAGACTGACCAGTTTCAGTTCTAAACATCAATAGGAAGATTCAAACAAGTAATACTAAGTGGATTAAAATCACTAGAATGTTCAAGTTCATTTCACATTATAAGTCTTATCTGTTACTTCTGCATAAATTTAAAGAGGGTGTGAATAATCCTCTTGCGTTTGTCACCCATTCAACATCGAACATAAATATATTCATGTATACATATTCAGAAAAAATAGTATACATACTGAAGAGAAAATCTTATAACAACTACTTATTAACTTCACATATATTACACATTTATTATGTACAAAATACAACAAACTATCCTGAAATGATTACATTTGAATTTTCTTAAGAATTAATTAAGACAAGGAGTTCGCGCGCGAGACCGAGAGGTCCTGAGTTCAAATCTCGAGAGGTGGGATCGTGGATGCGCACTACTTAGGACTCCCATACTAGGACGAAACGTCCATCCAGTGTTTTCAGGTTTTCCATAGTGGTCTAGCTTTTATTGACTCATGATCTCAACCTTTGAAATTGAATAATTTTTAATAAACAAATATTTCGCAGTCAGTCAGTCAGCCAGCTACAAGATAGGAACGGGCACATATATACATCAGCCCAAGTTGCAATATCTCATTAAAACAACAATATAAACAAAAAATTCATAGAAGTAGTTAATTCAGTGGTAGTAATTTTTATCTCACGTTGTAAGACAATACAGAGGATGTATACACCCAAACCATTGTGATCGATTCTGAGCCATGTCACACAGAGTCTCCAACCATCGGTAACGATAGTCTACATCAAAAAACATGGCTCAGACTAGACGTTAGTGACTTCAAGGAGTGATGTCACGTTTTCGTTTAGTCACACCTAACTGTCTTCCAATCATCATCCAACATTAATCAGGCATACGTAACACACGTAGCCGAACTATCTCAGTTAATGTAAATTAACAACCCTGCATCTAACCTCCCTATTAATTACGAATAAAATAGATCGTTGAAAAACTAACTAAAAGCTGAATTATCATCTACATGCAAACTTAATCTTTTAATAAGTGAAATATGTAAAAATAGAAAACTGTACTACTTGTTAATACATTTAAACTTACAATCTTCTATAGATGGATGGATAATTGAAAAAATTATAATAACATAAACTATTGATGAATACCACATCTTAATTCTTGAATTTCTCTTGTTATTTATCTCTTTTTATATCGTTATTACGTAATCATGGTTGGTTAAGGATGAATGAACAAACAAAAAGAAAAACCATCATTTGTTCATTATGAAGAAATATTTACATAAGGTGAATGATTCAAATACCCCCCCCCAAAAAAAAAACACACACACACACTTTTTCTGTATAAATTACTGAGATAAATCTAAATTTAAACATCGTCAAAGAAATTAATTCAGTTTAGATGAACAGGTTAACATGGTGGAGTGACTGCAAAGTTAACTAGTTCATCATCACACCATTTCCTTCTAATTAAAATAAGCCTCCAACCATTTGACCGAGATCATCAGGATTGATTATCTACATAGTGATTTATTATGTTGTAAAAATATAGATGTAGAAAAAAAACTACACCGAAAACACTTTATCATTGTAATATTATTCAGACCGATTGAAACTTATGTGTATGAGTATATCAGGTTAGTTGTAACTATGCAAATATAGTACCTAATAAAAACTTATTAGTATGACTTAGTATTGTTGTGATGTGTGCTATTTAAATAAGCATGAGTGGTATATAACTATTATCAGGAATAGAATGTCTGGCAACGGAAGTTCATGAAGATCGAGGAGGAAGGAACGGTAACAGGAAGTAATCGCTATGGAAACCCAGGAACAATGAAGTGTGATACGATTAATTGATAATTATAAAAAGAATAGTCAAGTTTGGGACAATCGTTTTACATTTTGCAAACTAAGTATTTACTGTATAATTTTCAGATTTTACTGAGATGTTCTGTAATTTGTTACCACTTTTGTTCTCGTACACTAAATTATTACTTATACTATTTTTAGTAACTATTAGTTTTCGGATACTGAACCGAGGACCTACCGGTCTCACTCACAAACACTTAACCTCTAGACTACTAAGCCGGCTGGCATCCAACGATTTTTCTTGTAAGTCATTCATTCAGCCATCTGAAATGTGGGACCATACACATATGTGCATTGGTCCAAGTCACTACATCTCATTAGAATAACAAACTAAACACCAAATTCATAGAAGTAGTTAATTCAATAGTAGTAATTTTAATCTCACGATTTAAGAAAATAGAGACTGTGTATACACCTACACCATTGTGGTCAATTCTGAGCTATGTCACACAGAGTCTCCAACCATTGGTTAAGATAGTCCAATGGACCCCAACAAAGTAGTCTGCATCTACGAACACGGCCCAGACTAGAATTTAGTGACTTTCAGGGGTGATGCCATGTTTCGGTTTAGTCGCCCCTTACTTTTTTTCCATACGTCTCTAACACTGGTCAACATTTCGCTTCATTATAATCGGTTTTCAGGCATACTTATCACGTAGCCCAACCATCTCAGTTGATGAATATTTACAACCTCATCAACTGATTTACCATCATTCGCTAATACAATCAGTCTAACATCATCATTACATACTCAGTGATCTCAGCAGATGCTGACAGTATTTCTAAGACATCAGTGTTAAAACAGTAGTAACTTACGAGTATCTTCCACTCTCAATGGCCATGTTTCGCAGACATAAAATAGAACAGAACGAACTGCCGCACCGTATACTCATTCTTTTATTGATAGACGGATATTTCGCCTTCGCCGTAGGTGACGTAAGTTGGAAAGAGCCAAACGAGGTTTTTGAGATTTCGTCGGACAGCAACCCATTAGAGCTGACCAGATTTACAAGATAAGTTATGATGACATATTGTTAATGAAGTTTGTAAAGCGACAGATTACAAAGAGATAATTGAATAATAAATGGCTACTATTCATTCCAAATTTATGTCAGCTGAAACACACACATTTTTAAATTAACCTTTTCACAATCGTATTTCAGTTTATGCGATATAAACAACCACTTTCCAAGAATACTAAAAGTAACCTTTGTGAAAATAGATTTACCGAAATAATTTGATCATATTAAGTCCATTAAGTTCATATCACATCATCGGAGGCGTGATGGTGTGACATTTTCACAAATTATGCTAAAATCATAGACACATTATATGTTACTTATGTCGACAGATATAAGTAGTATGTAACACCATCCAGAAGTGAAATGTCTATCAGAAGACGGTCGAGAAGATTGAATTGAAGAAAATGGCGATATTAATAGAAAATAATTGTCATAACAATCAAAGAATGATGAAGTTTCAGACAAACGATTGAGGATTTGTAAATGAAGTATTTAACATTTGATTTTTTTTTAACATTTTATAAAAAGTTTCTGTAATTATGGACTAAATAATAAACTGATATTCACCACCTGAGTTCCCGACCACTATATATTTATATGTTAACAGCTGAGATGTTATTACATTGTTTTAGTAACTATGATTACCTTAATAATAATGATTATGTGTATTCTCCAAGACTTTTATAAAATTAATCGAAATCTCCTCACACAATTAAAAGCATGTGTGGCACCTGAAAAATCTGGCATTACATAGCAATGCCAAATTGTTACAGTCAAGTAATCAACTGTTTAATATTTATAGTATGGAGATTTGTGGAGATTGTATTATTTAACAGTTAAATTAACCAGTCAATATAAGCTAGACCATCAATGAAAACCTAGATCTTTCTCAAGGTCATGGATCGATTGAAGTTAGGCTCAGTGCTCTATAGGTTGAACGTTCTCGCCTCAGACCGAAATGGCTGGGTTCGAGTGCCACGTGCAAGATCGCAGTTGCATACTGATGAGGAGCCCCATACTCGAACAAAACGGCCATCCAGTGATTCCAAAATTTCAGTGGTCGTCCAGCTCAAATTAAAGCGAACGGCACCAATTTAGAGTTCTGGAATGAACATTAACTCTGAGGTGCAGATGTCGTAGGGCGTTTATCGTTATTCGTTATTCCTCTAATTCTGTGGTTATCTCAACTATTCTCCGATTTTCTTCCTGTTCCTTTCATTTCAATCTTTTGCTTCGAGACTTTCTGTTTCTGATTGGCGCTAAAAGCCACTTGTATCTATCACCCAAAGTGAGGTAAAAGTTAACATGTTCACCAAATATCCTTTATTTTAACTAACCTTTAGTATTCTTATAACCTGACTATAATAGATGGAATATGATTCTGAAAAGAATCATTTGATAATGTCTATTCACCCAACTGTACAGTTTGATTAAAATATAGTCGATATTTTATTCAGTCATTATTATCAAAAATGTTTAGCTGATGATTAAGTTAAACCTCTTAAAACTGATGTTTTGAGAGTTTTATACATGATTAATATAATGATCACATTATTCATATTTTATATATTGTATGCATGATTACATTCCATTGATGAACATCGAATAGTATAATGAAAGTACAAACTGATATTAAATACCAAAAGTGTGTACTTTATATCCAACAAATTTGTAAAACTATAAATCTTTTTAAGTAAAGATGGGTAGTGATTAGCAGCAGAATCCTGGACGCGCGTTTCGTCCTATTAGGAACTCGTCAGATGGATGTACTTGCATCCCAGATTTGATGTTCACTCCGTTGCACAAGCGGTTGGCTATCAGAAATCAGTAACTAAGTGGATAACGAGATTGCACTTGAAGCGAAAGGTACTGGGTTTGAGTCCCAGCGTGAACATCAACAAGCCTCAGATGCAGGAACTTCCAGCTGACGAGTTCCGAATAGGACTGGTCCCGGATTCCACTGCTAGCCACCATCCATCTTCGCTTAGAATGCTTGCGAATTAGGACAATATCGAGGCAATAGGAACAGTATGCACATGTGCCAATAAGAGACCAATCAATTGCAGTCCTAAATACCAATGATAAGATTCAAACAAACAATACCAAGCGAATTTAATACATCTCCTTATCAAGATGCTGTAACCGTAAATTAATCCCCAAAATCAATAGCTATGTCAGTCTTCGACAATGGATGATGGCCACATTAGTTTTAATGGAATCACCTAGCTAAAGAAGCCCGGTCATGCATCCGCACCAGGTCAAGGAAAAGAGAATGAGAACAATGATTGGTTGATGCGTTTTGCAGCTATTTTACATGTGAGTATAAATCTAGTTATTGCGATTTGTTAGTTAAATTCAGATTCACACCAGACAAAGAACTTGTTTATTCATGATAAAACTGATTATGTTTTGATCTTTGTACTTGCAAATTAGAACATTGTGTTTTACAATCACTTGTCATATTATTAACTTACTTTGATGTTTCATTGTTATTAAAAACAGGACTGATCAGCTTACGTCAACCCATTTCTGAACAAGATTTACTCCACCAAAATGAAAAATGAGTCAGTCGCACACTATGCGATGACGGAAGTGATATGGTGAGCCAGTCAGAAGTAACCTAATAAGAATGTCAATCGATAGTAATCAGAAGTGACCTAGAAGACAAGCGCATTTTAGTGGGTGATAAATGGATTGAATTTCTAAGAGTTAGCGTTGTATGCCTATAAATAAGTATTTTTGCACTTTGTTCATTGGTGTGATAAAACCTTCTCTCTCACTCTTGCGTTTTCCCTAAAGGAGTCAGTTGGGAGAGAAGTTAGCACGTAGCAAATCGTGTATGTGTATTAGATTTCCAGAAGTTACATAGTTCTGTTGATGTGATTTTTAGTGATGTTCATCTGAGTTTACAAATTATGAAACTAAAACTCTAGATATACCATTTACTTAGTCTCAGTTCCATCTCGTACAGTCTAGCTAATGGCAACTCTTCGCATAAATCCTTACAACAACAAGCCATGCCGATTGAAATACTTATTTTACCAAAATTATGAAAACCCATAATGCGAACATCTGATCACGTGAATAAAACGAGAATGTTCAATTCTGCCTCGATGAACAGTAATATGACAGAAAATAACCTGAAAGCTTTCGCATGCAAATATACATTGATATAAGTGTTCGTAAACGAAAAGCAAATTTATCATGTGCATTCCTCGTTGTGAAGATGATCTCGTCAACCACAACTTTATGCTGTGTAA